TTGGCTGCAGGAGAACACACACCGAATGCCCACTGAGGTTAAGGGAGGCATCCCCAAGCCTTTCCCCCAGCCCAGAATCTCTCCCCAACTCAATGACTCAGTCATTTCTGGAGGAAGCTCTCCTGAACGTTTCCCTTCTATCACCCAGTGGCACATTGTTCTGCTTTGGCTGGAGGCTCTAGGAAACTCCAGAAATCAGCAAGAATGTACGATGATGCATCCTTTGAGAAAATCTAAACTGAGCTTGCCAAGATCTTCCAGTAAAGATGTCAGTAAGAGCAATAACAACACTGATACTAATTATTAAGTATTCGCTATGTGCTGGCACCGGGCTGAGCACTTCTTACACATTATCTCATTTAATTCTCCCAACAATCCTGAGGTAGACCTTTCCATTTTGGAGCCTCGAAACATCTGCTCTGATCACAGCCGTAAAGTTGCACAGACAGTCTTCAAATATAGGGAAGTGGGATACCAGGGCCTGTATTTTTTGCTGTTCCACAAAACTGCCTCTTACAGGACTGTCTGACAGATGCTGGCTGTCCCGTTTCCATGTCTTTTCCAAGGCCGAGACGAGTCCTAGAGGCCAGTGGGGCTCTCAGCCCTCACGGACTTCCATGTGGCGGGGACTATGGTGTTTGCCTCACTGCCAAGGCTGCTCAAAGGCAGCAGCATGACCTGACCCTCCTCTTGTCTGCAGAACACAGAGCTCAGCACGGAGCACGAGGGCGGTGGGAGAGGCTGCACAGGAGAGCGGGCAATTCGGTCTTAGAGCCTTCTGAGGACAAGGTTTGGCTAACGGCGGCTAAGTGTTGCCAGAAACCACGTTGGATCGGTTGGTTGGAACCAAGGGTACAGATCTGCTTCTTAAGCAAAGCTCATCTTTGGGCTGTTTGGAGCGGGTAGTGAGTCTCTGAGGGCAGATGGGGCAGGAGGAATGAGAGGGACAGAGGGAGAGAGGAGAAAGGATGGTGGTAAGCCACCTCTCGCACATTACCTCCTCTCCGGGACTATCCTGGGTGCCGCCTATTACTGATTTCCTTGATCTCCCTGCGGACCGTTTAAATTAAAGCTCATAACCATTGTGTGGGCATATAATGAAACCAACTGATGCTGCACTGATTAGTCCATTACTCTCAACTGTTAGAAAACATAATGATCTCACAAGGGGCCTTATTCACTGACGTATAGCAAGTGAGCTCTCATTTGACACCTCAAATTAGCAGCCAAAGCAATAACAGCTGGGGTTTTTGTCTCAATATTTGTACCCGACTCTAAAGTGATTTGGCACCGGGTGAGCGTTATTTTTAAACACAGAGCTCTCACCGCCAAGTAACATTTTAAATGGTCTCCAGGTGTCATGTAAAACCTACAGAAATAAATAAAAACAATCAGCTGCCAATCTGAGTCTTTGATGATATCGATTCCTTAACAAAAGGGCTCGTCTTTGGTTCTCCCTTCATTATCTATTCATATTGTGACAGGCAGAAACTCATCTCCTTCTACCCAGCAGAGCCTCGGTGTTAAAATGGGAAAAAAAAAAAAAAAAAGATGACTCCAAAATAAATGTAAAAAGCGGAAGATCAAAAGAGAAAGATGAAACTTCAAATCCTGCCATTGCTCAGTCAGATGCCCGGTAGTGGAGGTATTCCTGAGGCTCCAGTGTTTTAGGTTCCTTGATTCTGAAGAACTCCTTACTCATTTTTTGAGATGGTCACAGACACTGCCTGGTGGTGATTTAGAATGATTCAACTGCCTCCCAATGACCATTTTAATTGTAAAATGTACCTTCAACGACAACATGAATGAGTGGCCTCTCCCGATTCTGTTTCGTCATCCATAGGCTGGGAAACTGGGCCATCAATCTTGTCTACTACATTATTTAGAAATCAGGAAGTTGCCAGTGTGCCAAGATTCTGCAGTGGGCTGAGGATGGAAGAATGACCTCCAACTTACATAACCGAACAGGTGAGTGTGCAGTCAAGGCGGTGGTGGGGGGGGGTAGGGGGGTGGGGGGCAATGGACGATTTCCCCCTCAGCTGCATTTCAGCCCGTAAAAGAGGAAGAAGGGAGAAGTTTTTCAATGCCCACTAACGTGTACACTATGAGAGAACAGAGGACACGCCAGTTTTGCTCCCTGTGGTATAGGCAGGGTCTTGCCCAGTGTTTGGCACATAGAACAACTCAATAAATATTTACTGCATGGATGGATGAGTTTCAAAATGTGAAGGGTCATGCTTTTGGCATCTTTTCATAAAAATAAATTTCCACTCTGAACAGCTGCCTGGGCTGATCCAGGAGTACAAACTCAGCTGCCTGCAGGAGCCAGGTTTTACATCTGAGCAAGTGGGTTGCGTGGGGTCCGCAGTAAACCCAGCTCTGCCACCCGGGATCGTCACTTCTCGTTTCAAAGGCTTGTTGCTATCCTGGAATGTGCGTGCACCTGCTGCTGGCTGTTCCTTTTTTTTTTTTTAAGAGAAAGCCAGACATCTAGAATTTTTATGTGAAGTCTCCTGGTTTTTTAATATTGGTGATTAAATTATCTTAAGGAACAAAAGTTACAAATGAAAAATAACTTGGATTTGGCTTTGCAGATGCCAGTTTTTAGTCTCTGAACCAAAAAGATCAATTTAACAGTTTGATTCATCTATATCACATGTATCATACATATATCATATATGTATATTCAACACATATCACATATATAACACACTTTGAGATATGTATATATATAAAAATTGATGTGTGTGTGTGTGTGTGTGTGTGTGTGTAAAATCCAAGTATGTTAATGGTGAAATGTGGTTGACACCTTCCTTCTATACCACATCTCCGGGAGGGCAGCCACCAGGAATCTACTCTTCAAATGAACTATCTTAAATGATAGAAAAGTATTCAAGTTCTCCCCCCAGCCCTCCCCAACCATCATTACCTGGAGACAAAGAATTTTGAGAAAGTTTCTGTTTATAAGGGTAAGGCTGGGTCCCACCAGATAGGCGTGCTCTTCCCAGCTTTCCACACACTGTGAATCAGTTCTGTGGCTAAACCTATAAGTTATTTCTTATGTACGGTTCGGAACTAAGCCACAGGGTGCATGAGGCTCTGTTTCTGGGCTGAGATGCTGACAAGGTCCGGGTCTACCCTCTGATCTTTGCAAGGGAGGGGCTCTCTCACACAGTTTACTTGGGCTGCTTGGGCTCAAAGAGAGGCAGGGTGCTTCCTCATCTGGCCTCTGGTCACCACTGGTAGCCAGGATCCATGATGTAGAATTCAATCTCTTCCCAGATTGCCTTCCTAACAGACAGCAACCTGTTGGCTACTGAGTGGTCATCTCCCAAGCAGTGGCTGCAGGACTAGAAGGCCCTAGAAAGGGAGGGTGTTGGTCCCCATACTGAACATATGCTGTTCTCTCTGGAAAAATGCTAGAGATTAAGAGATGATGGGATGGGCAGAGCATAGAGGCTGTCTTCACTATTCTTTGTTCCCCTTCTGCTAATACAGGGGAAAGGCAGACGGCAATACAGAGCACTGGATAAAGAGTCAACGGACCTGTTTTCTGGCTTGGTTCTTCTGTGAAATTTTTCTATGGCTGTGTGTGAGTCACTCAACCTTCTGGGGGAATTCCTTTCTTTTAAAACAAAGTGGTGGGACTAGTTGACCTCCAGGGTCTTTCCAGGCTACAGTTCCAGTCTCCAATTCACACTGGGCTGGTGCTGGCTCTAAAATGGCAATTCTGGAATGGGAATCGTTTTCCAGACAGCAGTGGAAGGGCTGGTGGATGTCTAGATTTGTATAAAGATAGGACATCTGACCAGACTCTGAAAATCACAACTAACCCCCACAGCATTTGAAAAGTTTTGCAGGGTCAGCTCATTTTGTTTTTCTCTTTATGAAAATAAAGCTTCAGCTTCTGTGGGGTTAATGGGCTTGCTTCCCTAACCAGCTGTCGCATCTCTAGCTTATATATGGAGAAGGGACGGGTCCAGACATGGGAGCGATTTTCCTACCCAGCTGACTTTGTGGAAGTGATTTGCAAGGCTGAAAGAAGTGAATAATTGGGATCAGGAAACTAATTCTCGCAGAGACAGGGTTTCACGTGGGTGGGAGACAGTTTTAATAATCATACTCCTGGGTTTTAATAAAAATGGGTCTTTTGCAGGTACAAGATCCAAATGGTTAAATTCAGAAAGAGAAAGGGCAGAGTGGAGGGTGAGAGGAGTGGCAGATACCTCAAAGTATTTAACTTCAGAAGATACACTGTTTAAATGTGCCTCTTAATGAACGTGAACCGGCCCCAGTGGTTTGGAACAAAGCAAGCAGGAAAACAGGCCTGGAGGGAACTGTGGAGATTTGCAGAGGGCCATTCCTGTCCAAATGGGGTACTCGCCACTCAGCTCTAAGCCTGCGATGTCCAATAAGGTAGCCACTAGCTAAAGGTGGTGATTTAAATTTAGATCAATTAAAATTAAATAAAAGTTCAGTTCCTCGGTTGTATGAGCCACACTTCAAGTGCTCAAGAGTCACATTGTGGTTAGTGCCTATCATATTGGATAGCACAGATGAGAAGCATTTCCTGCATCACACAAAGTCCGATGAGATAGCGCCACTCTAGACAATCAGAGCCACACGCGTGCCCAGGATTGCCACAGCTTCCAGATATTCCGGGGAAATTGAAATCATATACTTTTAAATAACATTACCTGAGTTTTAAACATTGGCAACTAATTCTAATTTTTTTTAAACACTGTAAAGCCTAAACCAATTAAAAAAAATCAAACTCCGTATCTGAAGTTTTCAATTAACTATGGGCCAATAGTTGGGGTCCTCTGATTTAGTTATAAGTCAAGTGGGAATGGGCACTCTAGAGCTTCTATGAGTCCAAATATGACGTTGGAGAAACAGAATCAGATTCCCTCCATCCTTCCTCCTCACCATCCCTTGCTTCTAAGCACCTTCACAGATAGGAAATGGAAGCTGAGAAAGGTAGAGATGATGCTCTGATTCTCCCCAGCACTGCATCTCCATGTCTTCCCCATGCCATCCTCCCCTCCGGAGAGTCAACTAGCAAGAAGGGGTCAATTTCCTGCTTGAGTTCCGAGGACCTTGACTTTCAGGACACATTTCTGCAGAGTAAAGGACTCTTGGCCACAGGTGAGCTGAGCCAGCCAATATTCTGCATCCTGGATGGAAGTGGAGGTTGAGCAAGGGGCAGGTTCCACTCTTCAAGGAGTCACGGCTCCCTGGCCTGGAGACCCTTGAGAGCCATGAGATGAGAGCTGAACGAGAGCAAGATACTCCCTGAATGTGCTCACACACTGGTCACTGAAGCCATTGCTGGCTGCTGGAAGACAGAGAAAAGATAGAGGCTGACCATCGGCACAGGAGTGCATTTGCAAATCGGTGTAGAAGCTCCATTTTGGGAGTGAACTGACCGCTGTGTGCATTTGGTAACTCTGTGGTATTTCCCCACTGGCCTCCTCATCTTGCCCCCAAGAGGAAACTCTCTGGAATCTGCTTTTCAAAGATTCAGTTATTTTTCTAGTTTATTTCAGGTGGGACAAAGCAAACCTAGTTTGTCCAGCCAGAGTTTCACCCCAGAGACCTGGTGGCTGGAGTCCATGGCCCCTTTGAACAGTAAGACTTCCATTACCTGAGTCCACCTAAGTGCTGCTCACAGGAGAAGTTGATAATGGGAGTCCTACCGATTCACAGATCCTCTGTGCTCAAGAACAGTTCCACGATCTTCACCATATCCCCTTAACCCAGGAACGTACACTAATGCATTTTCAATTCAGAGACTAAACAGAACTTTAGTTAACAGGAAAGTACAATCAAATGGAAACCATTGGAATACTCTCCCCCACCCCAATTCTAGCTACTTGAACTGTTAAGGTACTGCTTATTTAAATGGAAAAAATTATCCTTTATTTCAAAGGAAATTTCACTTTTTCCTTAAGCTGATGTTCTCAAAACCAAGCTAGCCATTTTAAGAACACGGCTATGATTGAGCCTTGAGCCTGGGTGACTATGAAGGAGGGGCGTGTGTTGTATGGCCCATGTGAGCATTTATAGAAAACCTAGATCCTTTCCTAGGATCCTAGGGGCTGAATGGAAGTTACTGGTGCCTTCCACAAAGTGCAGTTTTAATTCTGATTGCCTGAACAAATCACAATTTGTAGCACAGTACCAAAAAAAAAAAAAATCATATTCTGGAAATATTTTAAGACTTTCATTAGGCAGTGACAGTTCTATATTCAAAGCTATGTCGTGACTAAATACCCTGATTCCAAATTCTGTTGAAACAAATGTTTTCAGCTCCCAGAGAAACTCAGGTGAAACACCTTGTAAATAAATGAAAATGAGCCTTGTCTGTTAGAAAACACCACTTTTCACTATGGCTCTAATTTTGTTCATAGATAATTTAAAAAAATATATCGCCATTTAGCTGGAGGAATAAAAAAAACAAAGGTAATGTGAGAAAGGCGCTGTTTCAGTAAAATACTACATCATTCAGTATTTAAAATAATTTTGGGACAATCACAACCTTAAGTTCTGTTCCGGACAGAAACGTAACAGAGAATATGGAAACTGGGTGGAGTAGGCTTCTATTCACTTAATTTCAACTGAATTTGGTTCCATGTACTTTATTTATTTATTTTTTAAAGAGAGTTTATTTATTTGAGAGAGAGGGAGAGAGAGAAAGAGCCTGAGCGGTGGGGAGGGGCAGAGGGAGAGGGACAAGCAGCCTGCTTGCTGAGTGGGGAGCCTGACCTGGGGCTTGATCCCAAGATTGTGAGCTCATGACTGGAGCGGAAGGCAGACACGTAACTCATTGAGCCACCCAGGCACCCTAGTTTCATGGACTTTAAATGACTACCTACTTTGTTTCCAGTTTGTGTGAGGTTCTGGGGACAAGGCAGTGAAACAATATAGGCGTGTCCTTCAACTTCAGTTGTGGCGAGTGTCCTGGGTGGGTGTCTGCTATTTGCTAGACCTACACCTATGGTACCTCCTTTAACCCACATACTAGCCTAAGGGGTTGGTAGGTATTATTGCTTCTATTTTTCAATGAGGAAACAAGCCCCAAACCACCCAGTTTGGTGAAGCTGGACCGGCAGCCAGTCCTATGGGAGGACTCTAACATCCCCAAGGTCAACCTTGGCCTTATACCTCCAGGTTTGGGGTGGTTCTGTGGAATTGGATGTAATGCTGATTAAGCTGAGGTCATAGGTTTAGATCTGAGCGCCCTGTGGGTCAACTTTTCAAATATGAAAAACTATCATTCCTGAATCATTGTGGCATTTACAACAGCCCGTAATCTTATTAACGCATATAATTGTTTCTTTGGTATGTACGCTCCAGAATGCATTTTTTAATTTTAATTTTAATTTTTTGTAGCAGAGCAATGAAGGGCAGGGGCTCAAATACCAGGCAGAGCTGGATTTGCTACTTGAAGGGCAGGCCCAGGGACTTGCCAGGGGCACTTTGGGCAAGTCATTAGCTTCTCTGAGTCTCAGTTTCCTCATTAGAAAAATGAGATTAAGAGGTTCTACTTTGTAAGGTTGTGGTGAGGATTCACATAAAATGCTGGATTCTAGTATCTTGTCATAGTCCCTGGAAGATAGCAGACACTAAGAAATGGAGGTTGTAACAGTAATTATAATATCTATAGTGACTATACTAGTAATTGTTATAATATCATTGTATTATATATTATTAATTACTATTTGTATCTAGTTCCACATTCAGAGGAAGCTCAGTTGAAGTGGAGGATAGACCTCCATTTGTATAAAGCTCTGGGTTTTCTGTACCGGGCCGACAAGGTCTATGAAAGTCCTTACACCCAAATCCCAGCACCCTTCAGCCAAGACAACAACCCCATGCTAGAGGAGTGAGCACACCCTGATCTGGGTGTCAGGACTATTGTTAATTTCCTGTCACTACCTTCTTCTTACACCAGCAAAGGACTTTCTTCTCCATTTTTCTGTGTCTAGTGGGGCTTGGGGTCAGGCCATGTTGTACCTGCCTGTTTGCGGCTGAATATCTACCCTAAAAGTCTGGTCAATTCCCACCCACCACTGCTTTAACTCTTGAATTGCTGTTCTCTAAATGTGAGTTAAGAAGGAGCTCAGTACATGGGATGATGAAGGGGTCCAGGGAACATGAAACTGGGCGGGGGGTGTTTATCTCATTTCTCATCAGTTGCATAGACCCAATGACAAGTGCTTTAAAATCAAAAGGGAATTTGGAGGCTAGTTCAACTCTTGAGAAGAACTTTCCAGAAGATGGGGCACAAGAGATTCCTGCTTGCTTCTGTGGTGTCCTCGCTCAGCTTGGGAGTCCTGGACTCCACGTCACTTGGTTCTGCTTATACATGTCCATTCAACAATTCTGGTAAACTCTGGCCCCTCGAGTTTGATGCACCAGAGAACCTGCTCTTCTAAAGCTTTACTGTCTCTGGCACCGGGCACCATGCTGGCACACAGTGTTTCCTTGCTTCATGGATGGATGACAGCGGGGGCCACCTGGGCTGGCAGGTAGCTGAAATGAATGGAGGTCGGTGGGAAAGTAGAGTCTACTCATCCCTTCTGAGGAGGGATGTGCTCTTTAGCCACAACTGACTGTCACAAAGCAGAAATGCAGCCCAGGGTTGCCATTGCTTCAGGTGTCCCAGAAACCCAAAGCTGGCCATCTGTACTTTTAAGAAAAATTTTATAATTTTAAAATATGAGATGCTAATTTCAATTAAAAAATACTCGACAGGATTGAGGGCGCCTGGGTGGCTCAGTCGGTTGGGCGACTGCCTTCGGCTCGGGTGGTGATCCTGGAGTCCCGGGATCGAGTCCCGCATCGGGCTCCCTGCTCGGCAGGGAGTCTGCTTCTCCCTCTGGCCCTCCTCCCTCTCGTGCTCTCTGTCTCTCATTCTCTCTCGCAAATAAATAAATAAAATTAAAAAAAAAAATACTCGACAGGACTGAAAAAAACTCATCTGTGGGTGCAACATAGTCTGTGGTCTATCTAGTTTCCAATGTCTGGTTTCAAAAGAGCAGAAAGCAGGATCATTCCTTGATTCTGTCATGTGCTCAAGTTTGCCCTCCTCCTCAAATCTCCTAAATAAAACACCTAATAATGGCTTTGAAAGGACAACTGTGCTTGGGATCCCCAGTCCTACAAAGGTTTTTTTTTTTTTTTTCCTGGACAGCCTAGTTGCATGAAGGTGTCCAATGTGGGCAAAGAACATGGGATCAGGGGTCCACAGACCCAGCTTCTAGTCCCCTTGCTGCCACCAACTTGCTGTTTCCCTTGGCAAATCTCTTAGCCAGAGCCTGGATGAGGGTGACGGACATGGGGTACCCGGGTGCAAAATGTTATTTGGCCTGGGCTTCACTCTTACCTGTTCTCAATCTCTCTGTGCCTTCTCTCAAAGTAAGAGGTCATCCCAGAAACTAAGGTCTTTACAGGCCCAGCCTGTAATAATGTCACTGAATTTCCAAAATTGGCAAGTGACATAAATGGAGGTAGACCTTCAAAACAACACACGCTGGTTATCTGCAGATGTGTTGGACCTGCATGTACCAGTGATTTATCAAGGGCAGGCTCCTCACTGGGATATGTGAGCATTTTCAGGCTATGCTCCTGACATCTTTCATTTGGCATTTTTGGCAGCATTATCTACTGAACTTCTGATTTGCTACATGTTGTCAGGAGACAGTGTCTGAAAATCTTTTTTCCTCTCCCACAGTACTATTGAAAAAAAATTATTTTATTAGCTAGGTTTTCTCATTTTTGTTTCATTTGTCCACACTCTTAATTTTTTTTTCATTAAACATATTTCTGACCCAGGACAGCACGTTGGGCAGGGAGGTGCCTGGTACAACTGGCAAAATGCCTGGCTGTCCTCAACCTCACTGGCCAGGAAACCAGCTCAGAACACCATGACGAATGATTCCTGACCACATAGGGTCAGAATTACAGTCTTGGCATATTCAACTGCAGTATAAACCCAACTTGGAGGAAACCGAGTATGTGAATCACCAAATGTATAGAACAGGTGGAAATGAAAGGCCAGTGATTTGGGCAACAGAAGGCTGTCTGAGTCATAGCAACTCTCAGTTAAGAACCTTAAGGCCATACAGAAAGCTGGGGCTAGATCGTGGGAAGGTCTGAAGAATGGAGCCCCCAAACCACTGAGTGACAAAGTCAACTGGTGATGTCCAGAAGCGAGAATAAATCGTCTCTGGGACTAAGAATGTAACTCAATGAAAAAGCAGGACTATTTTCTTTCCCTGGCAAGTCTGATTTACCTTCAACTTTGTGGGGACCCACTAACTGGGTAAAGGAAATGACAATTTCAGAAGCATGTGGGAGGCTCCAACGTGATCCTGGGCAGGACTGTGAATCACCGCTAGCTCGCCTAGCCCAGCTCTTGGAGGCTGGTTCGTACCACTCTGTGGCACCTGTTGGCCACGCTTCCAGGGAATCAACGCCACGAGAGCCTTGGCAATTACAGATCGGGAAAGCTGCTTGGTAGAACGGTTAATCACACAGGCTCTGCTGCTTACTAGTTAAGCAGCTACTTGCCTTCTTTCGGATAGGTCTTGTGCAGAAGGAGGGCTGTGAGGATGCAGAGGGAGAAGGTATGTAGGAGCACCACATCCACTGTCAGGCACGGGTAACTGAACAACGGAGGCTACAAAGGCTGTATCCTCTGCGCCATGATTCTTCCCCTATGTGGCACTGGGGCCTTGCGGAGTTTCACCCGCACTATGCTTTTTCTCTTAGTCCCTTTCCTGGTTACCTGGAAAGGGGAGGAGGGTGGTGGCTCTTTTCCTTTGTTCACCATATTCTGTGCTAGACATCCCCCACTGGGCAGGAGCCAAAAATGAGGATGAAGTGAGCAGATGTCGTAGCCTTTTCCAGCCCGGTACCCATTCCTCTCTCTTTACCGCTTTACCCCTTCCTGGTTCTCGAAGGCTCCCGTCCTCAATTCCCATTGTGTGTCCTGTGGGACCAACCTCAGCCTGGATGGGAAGAAGTTTTACAGCAGTTCCAGCCACAGAAAAAAATGGAACAACAGGGGGTTCCCATGTGAAATATTTCCACTAGTAGTTGACACCCACAAACTTTCTTTAAGTTAATTTTGAGAGAGCTTTCCATGGGGGTAATCGTGAGTCTTTCCTTGTTTTTTATCTCATCTGCCTAATGTCAGAGAGAAAACACACCTGTAATACTCTATTTTGTCTTCTTAATTTGCAGACTTTTAAAGCTTTAGATACTTAAAGACGACCTTTCTGGGGATAGTGTGTTCTGAACCTCTCTCTCTCAGGAACTTACTAAGTTAATATATAATGTCTTCACTTAGTTCCTATTTATTATTTCATTGTCAAGATTCTTTACAGTGCCTAAGTTGTGATTACAGAGAATTGTGATAAAATGTCAATGTGCAGATGAGATTTGGAAGGTCTGGGGGTGGGGAGGGGAGATTCTTTAAATGGAGATGTCAGCTCCAGCCAATTTCAGAATGGCTCACCATTAAGAGAGATGGTTCCAAAGCCGTGTGCCTCTGCTGGAAATTAAAAACCCATGGAATAAATGATTATGATTAATTTTAAGTACTTAGCCATGTGAAGTCAAATGAGAGTGTCTTTAAAACAAAGCTATTGATCTGGCTTTGTTTGGAATTGAGAAGATAAACTAATCAGATCCTGTGGTCTCTTTGTAATAATAGGGAATGAGAACTACTTTCTCTCCCCACCCGCCACCATAGGCTTTTAAGATTCAAGTTTGAGAAACTTGGTGTACCAACATGCTATATAACATACATTTTAAAATTAGCAAACACTGGGGTAGAGAAGAGCAGTCCAGTTCTGTCCCAAACAGGGATTTGATGGGGATGAGGGCATGATGGGGAGAAAGTGAGGGGAATGGAAGGGACAGAAGCCAGCTCTTCTTAAAGTTGAGGGAACAGACTCAGAGAGGTTGCATTGCTTGGCCCAAGTCCCACTGTGCCCAAGTGTGTCTGACTGTACGGCCCCATCCCCTCCCTCAGACAGCCTTCCTGGTGAGGCGAGGCACCACCACTCCCAGTACAGAGAGCTAACGTGCGGGCTGTCTAGTTGTCACAGCTGTTTTGTGGCAGCTGGTGATTTCCATTTCCTGGTCTCTTCCCAAGGAATTTTCTCATCCTCCTGAAGAAAAGGGTGACATGCTCCCAGCAGCCCTTCTCCAGAAAGGCTTTTTTGCAGGCTGGGAAAATTGCGCCTACCCTTCTCAGCCCCAGTCTCCTGATCAGGGAAGTCCTAGGTCACTAAATTGGGCTGGTATCCTCTCCCTAGCAGACGTGCATTTGTTGATGGTTCTGGGGTCAGAGTTTGGGTGAGGAGCCACCATCCATCTTAGGATTGACAACCTGACCTCCCTGGCTGTGGGTCCTGCCGCTTCTGTCCCGGGAATTTGCGGCTTTCATCAGATTTCCGGCACCTTGCAGCATCAGCATCCCCTTTTATTTCCCGTGATTCCTCTTGGAATCACCTTCCTCTCGTACAACGTGGAGAGGCTTTCTCCAAGCCGTGTCCACTGGCTGCAGGGCCAGGTGAAAAGGAAGGTGGGAGGAGGACCTTCCTTCATGTAGAAAGGGACATTTTTATATATTCATTCATTCATTTCTGTGACATTTATTCATTCCTTTGGAAGTCAGAGGTATGTAACCTGGTGACTAGGTAGTTTTTTTTTTTTTAATTTTTAAATTTTTTTTTATTTTCAGGGGTATGCTCAACAAATTCTACCCTATCATTCACTGGATAGAACTGTACCATCAGAATTATTTTTAGAACCAAGCAATTACAGAATTTGGAAAGGGGAAGCCAGCCCCAAGGTATAGCAACAAACCCTTCCTTTTCCAAATGGGAAAACTGAGACTCTGAGTGCGGAAGGGACTTGCCCAAGGTCACACAGCCAATTAGGGGCTGAGTCGGGACTGAACCACACATCTCCTGACACAAGTTCTACTAGGCTTTATTGCTTTCCTTTCTAGGTTTCACAAATCAGGGACAGCTGGAAGTGTTGCTTTGGGTGACATTCAATCGAAATGTTTTCTTACACAATTCTACTTTAGTTTGAATGACCCCAAGATGATTCCTAGCTGAATTCCAGCCCCCAACCCACACCTAGAAAACTGGAAATCAGGTTAGACCCATGGGAAAAATCCAGAACACAGAAAAGCAGATCCACAAGGTATAAGGGGTGGGATTCCACCTCCTCTCATCTTTCTCCCACCCTGCCACTTTAAGGTTACTGCTTAAAGTTTGCATTTAAACCCAAGGCAACATCCCAGGAGCAATGGCAATGACTAGACTTTACCAGGCTGTTTGGCAGCGCAGCCCCCCCGCCCCCGCCCTGTGCCAGGTCCCTTTGTGATTCTGGGTGATATCAACTGACCCCTTGGTGCTATCCCCTCTCTCATCTCCCAGACCTGTAACCTGTCTCTTCCCATGCCCACACTCAAACAGACTCTCCCTGAACGCTCTGCCTGGCGCTGGGGGGCTATTCCAGCCCATCTGTTCCACCCAGCAACAAATACCACGGGAGCACCGGGGGAGAAAGGACTCAATTGAGACTTAATTAGCAGGAACCCCAGTTTGTGGGAGGTGAGAAATCACACTTTGCTGCCTGCAAACACTTTGGCCAAGGTGAGCCAGAGGGATCTCCCGGTTCCCAATTTTAATAGCACTGCAGCAGAAGACACAGAAATGCAATCCACACGGACCCCCCTGCACACACACTCCCCTTTCTCTCCTCCTCACAGGGACACACACACACATGCACACAAGGCAGCGGTCGCAAAATCAACTCACAGGATCTCCAAATCGCGCAGCGCTCGGAAGGCTCCATCTTCAATGCAGCTGATGTGGTTGTTGTCCAGTTGCCTGTGGAAAAGCAAGGGGAGGGCATGAAGGCTGAGCGGGGGCAGCACCGAGGAGCCTGGCGGCCCGGGCCACCCGAGCGCCTGTCCCTCCACCCCTGGCAGGCTCTGCTCGTCCCCGCCAGGAGCTCGCGCAGAGCCAGCCTGTCTGCCACGCTGCTCCGTCCCTGCTCTCTGTCTGGGAGAGCTACACAGACGAGCGCACCAAAGGCTGTCAGGTCTCAGTAAATATTAATTGCGCATTTTTTTTTTTTTTTTTTTTTAGGCAGAAGGGAGTAATTTCATTACATTAGGGCATCCAATCCATTACGAGCTCTTACCGTCATGTCACTGAAACAATTTCATTAAGCTAAAGGCCTGTAAATCATTGGAGGTCACTGCTCTGCCCTCCGCGACCTCCCAGAATGCTTTTTTCCCTCTCTCCCTCTCCCTTGTCTCCCTTTACTGGAAGTTGCAGTCTTCTGCTCTGACACAGTGCTAAATCTCAAGGCTTTATCTGCCCAAGAGCAGTGAGGGTGCATGGGGAATATACCAATTCCAAATTAGACTCAACTAATCTAATTTTATAGTCTTTTTATTATTCTAAGCACCAAATGTCTGTGGTGGTTTGATGCCTCCGTGCTTTGTTATGGGGCCCATCTGGTAGGTCATTCTATCGAAGCATTTTCTGACTAACTACAGAGCCCCTCAAACTGCACCAACCACCATCAACATTAAAGAAATCCATTGATGGAAGCATTCCTGATGGGGGAAGAAAAGGAATATTGTTATTGCCTTAAAGATGTACCACTTAAATTTAAATTGGGGAGAATTAAATGCACCTATTTCAGGACTCCTTTTTTATTTCCCTTTCCATCTTATGAGCATGAAAATAATGTCTTTTAAAAGGATGCCTTGACTAATATACATTCTAGTTGGGGATTGAGGTATTTTAGTTGAAGGATAATAAATATATACCATTATCCCTAAATCAAAATAGGTCTGATGTGTAAGTCATGACCATACTGCAACTCAAATCTCACATTATATATCAGTCATTTGATTTCTAAAATAAAAGATGGTATACAGAAAATGTTTATTAGCACCAGATTGTCTATTGTATTTTGTGTGCAGAATACACCACGGTCTTTGGGGCAAATGGCCGAAAGAAGTATGGCTGTACTGAAAAACTCCCTTATCTACTTTTTTGTTTTTTCTTTTGTCCCAGAAAAAAATCAGCCCCTCTCAGGTGAAGGGATTTTCTGATGCTGGAATTTTCATGTGACTTGTACTAATCTATCCCAACAACTCTGTGCAAAAGATGTGTCGATGATATGTTCAGTAACCCTCACGGAGGGTTTTATATTCTGCTGCAGGAAGGCAGAATTAAAATTAAAATACTATTATCATCGAGAAACCAGATAGATATAAGATTTCTGTAAACGCAGATGAGTGAGACACGTACAATTAGACTGATGTGTCACAACCGATGGGCTCTGCCACGATATTACGGGGAACTGAATCACTCAATAAGTGCTCCTGATACAAGATTTAGACATTTAGGGTTTAAAAATAAGCGGCCAATGGGTATCTCAAGAAGCAGAAGCACTCTTTAGGTCGACAACTTCTACATCTAGCGTTCAAAGTTCTTGCTGATGCCCACTCCGGTGAAATCTCAGTGTTCTCGCTACCCGGAATACTTCCAGAGTCTTTCTTAACATGAGTTTGCTGAACGTCCTTTCCCAAGATTTCCTGTAAGTACTGGGGCCGCTGATTCCCCGCAAAGGTTCTATTAAGGCAGTCTAGTCCTGCTGCCCAGTTTCTAGATTTATTATCAGTTTAAGGGCTGATGAATCAACAACCCCCGCCCCACACCAAGGCCACCAAACCTTACCAAGCAGAAATGCAGTGGAGTTGGCTTTTGGCTCCAAGAAATTGTTCAATAAATATGCTGAATTCAGCAAAAATGGCCCCATCCACCTAAGTAGAAAAGTATCTAAATCATCAGACTGAGACGAGGGGAAGTGTGTAGCGATGGCAGTTTGTGGTGCATCTGCTTTTGGGCAGACATTTCAGCAAAGTCCTTGCTATTAGAATACTATTTATTTGCTGGAATTTGTGAGATGCTTTCTGTTCCTTTTCTTTTCGAGCACGAGAAACCAAACAGGACACTCTAAATGTACAGAATGTTATATGGAAAGAATGCAATTTGCAGGGGAGAAGAGAAATTCACGGAAAGAAGGGAAAGAATGAAGTGGTAGAAGAGATTAAAAGGGCGGGGGAAAGGAGATGTGCAAAAGATGAAAAACCAAGTCCACTGTTCAACGTTCCATAGGAGTCCTGCCTGGGGATATTGGAGCGGTGGGACAGAGTCTTAGGGAGGGACGTGGTCACTATAAGGCTAAAAGCAGGGAGGTCTCCTGCGTGATCAGTTCTGTGATGTTTAAACAGGCTCACTGGGCGGCACAAGCTGACACCTAGTTGTTTATTAGGAATGGGGAACACTGAGCTGTAATAGAGGCATCTCTGTGGGTGTATTTTTATAGACTCTTTTAGAATATATGAAATGTATCAAAATTTCAAATATTTATGCAGAAGTGTGCTATACATTTATTATAACCAGGATTGTCTCCTTTTACTCTACCCACAGATAAACAGTACCCCAGCCTTTGTCATCAGTCATTTCCCATATGCATTGTTCATCAGGGAAGTCTTCGGGGGGTACAAGGCCTAGGAGGATCGTGTCAAGCAAATGAAAACCTGAGAATTACTTCACTGCCCAGCTATTAATATCTTCATGGCACTGAGCATCAGAGTGTTCGTAAAAGGTCATTAATTGTCTGCAATCTATCCTGATATTTCATGCAAATAAGCCAAGCCCCTAAAGCAAAGTAAATACATACTTGCCTCAGACAAGGTTTCTTTTTCTTTCAAAATTACATCTCAGATACACAAAAGTTAGTCCCCAAGCACGGGGTGGGGGATGCAAAATACATGCCAGCCCAGCATTCCTTTGCAGGTGTTAGGAGTGGAGCACTACTAAATACACAGAGAACCTTCTGGAGCTAAGGCCAAAGCCTTTGACTTAGCAGTTTGCTTCTGGGGGTTGATGGAGGCCGCTGAACTGTGTTCTAAGCTCTCGAGTCAAAGATCCATTTTGCAGCTTTGAAAGGACTCTTTCAAAGACCCTCTCAAAAACAAATCAAAAAGCCCATTGCTCACTCCACACTCCATTACTCAGAAGGCATGTATGTGCAAAAGGAACTCTGGATATGGGAGCACAAAGAACTCAGCAGTCTTAGAATGCCTGATCTTTCTATTTGTCCATGGCAGTGAGAGGTGTATTTCACACTGCTACTGAATCCATTTTTACCACACAAAATGACCTGCCCTGGTGCCTCGCACAGTGCCAGGGACTTCCCAGCTGGCCATGCATGGCTGCAGAGTGAGTCCTACTGAAGGTCCGGCAGGGCTGGGTTCAAACTACCCGGCAGAAGGCTCTAAGCCATGAGCTATGCTGTCCCGGCCGTGGTCCTATGTGATGGAGCATTCCCTCTCTGACTACATGGGGAGCTTTCTGCCACACAGACCTCCACTGGGGGAGTGTTTGGAGAGGATGCTTGGAATAACGTGAGATTTCTGTGGTGAAGATGAGGGGCAGGAAGGCAGTGGATGGAGGGAAGTTTGGCTGTTTTTCGGAGGCAACTTTCACTGTCATCTACTTTATACAGAAAACTCAATTTGATTTACACTCTCCTGCCTGTGACTAAGCCTGGAAGCCCCCAAACATTCATGATATTAAATTAACTGCTCTAATTTCCCTGGGCAGCTCAGATTTCACCAAACAACGTGCGCTAAAATGATACCAGAGTCTATTTAGAAAGGAGTCCTCTGACAAGAACTAAATGCAGACTCCCTGAGAGGAGCTCCCTGACTACTGTATTTTTATACTCTGAGAATATAAACAAGTCAGAAAGGAAAGCCAGCGTGAGTGAGGACTTAAAATAATCTTCACCAAAGGCAGACGGGGAGATAGTGCTTTTGTAAGAATTCCCATCCGTAAGCATAATATTATCACAATTCATCTCCTTCAATCACAATTTCAAATTTCATAATTGAAGCAGGAAATATTTTGCAGTTCGGAAACTTAAAGAAGCATATCTAAATCCTTTTCAAAGAGCTGAAAAAATCTGATTACAATATTAAGAGCGACCTATCTCCTAACCACCGCCCCCCCACAACAACAACAAAGGAAGAAAGAAAATGTCATGATTTCCACGATGCTTTTGAGTCCCCACGAGGAGAAAATACCTGAAAGATAGAAATCTCCAGAAACAGGTTTCTGGAAGAAAAGCAGAATTCCCAAGTAGTCGTCTGGATGCAGGGTCTATATACCGAGGCACAGCCACCCAGATGTGTATTTCTCATGCAGATGTTCTGGGGGACCCCAGCAACTCCACCCTTGGTTGGTGAAACCTAGCCTAAGGGCACTGTCGCTCCAGGCCCGAAATCCAGCCCAGCGTGGGCTCCAGCACCACAGCTAGAGGTACTGCAGTCCTCATGCTAAGTGGGAGAAGTAGCTAAGGCTCAGCGCTCTTTGGAATTTCAGAGCAAAACTATCTACACAAAATGCGCACAGTAAGTAGAAGGACTTCTGCATGAAATTCACAAGAGAAGCCCTAGTAGAAATTCAAGGCAAGCCTATGGTCTCGGAATCCAACAATAAATTAACCTGTAAGAGCAACTGAGAGTTAGTAGATGTTCACGCTGTATTAGGCACCTAGGATACAGAATGAAGTGTAAGACATCCTTTGAAATTTTTTGGAAGAAGCCGGCACCTGTGGTTTTTACATTTCAATTATCTTAAGAGAGATACGAGAGTGGCGCCTAGGTGGCTTAAGCGTCTGCCTTCGGCTCAGGTCATGATCTCAGGGTCCTGGGATCGAGCCCCGCATCGGGCTCCCTGCTCGGCGGGAAGCCTGCTTCTCCC